CGTAAGTTGCGAAGGCTGTCCAAGCGGAGGACTTTCGGGGGTGTTGGCATTGTTGGCGTTGTTTTTGCTGTTATCCTCACTAATAAATGTTTGGATTCCCTGTCGGAGCTGTTTTCCGGTGGAGGGATGCATACTTCCTCATGATTGAAAACTTGTCTCTTCCAGTCCCCCAGTTCTCTTCATGGGTATCAACAACTTGTCTCCATAGTTCTGGTCCAATAGGAATGATCCTCCTCATGAGTCTCAGCAAGTCCATTGTCTCCCTTCTGGAGTAGTTTGTGGAGCCCTTTGATCTTCCACCTCTTTCTTGAGCAGTCGGCCTTGCAGGAGTGGTCAACCTCGACGTTGCAGCAGCTGTGGAGGAGGACCTTGCAGCTGTTGCTGTTGCTGGAGCCAACCTCCTTGCAGCTGTTGCTGCTGTTCTTGCTGGTGGGGGAGCCAACCTTGCGGCTGGAGGAGCTGCTGGAGCTGGAGCTGGAGCCATGATCCTTGTGTTCTTTTTATGAGCTAGTAGCACGACCGGTATGTGAATCACATGCGGGATTTCGATGTCTTCCCTCTCAAGAAGACAGCGCCGGCTCTCTTCCCTCCTCCACAACAGTAGAATCTGTATGGGGCTCCATGCGCCAGCCATCACCATCAGCATTGTTTCTCTTTGTTGTTCCTTGTTCCTTCTCTTTGTTGTTGTTCCTTCTCTCTTTGTCCTCATATCATATTCCTTCTCTTTGCCGTCGAAAAGATTACCATGTGCTTTTTTGTTGACACTTGAATCGAAATTCTGCAGGAGTTTGGCGCCTGTTTAGGGCGCRCCTGCTCCCGAGACTGGAAATGGTTAAGTCAAGGATTCCAAAGAAAAAATATGTCACATACACAGATTCTGGTTGTCATGGGCCCACGACAACCAAAATCTGTGTAATTTACATATTTTTCCGAGCCGGCCGGTCTCATTTTTACATATTAATATGTTTGCGGGAATCACCCAATTGGATAGCTGAAAATTACAGTCCTGGTGCAGTCACACCTTCCGGGTTGTACCGGGAAGGTCTTTGATTTCATTGGGATTTGAAAATTTNTGATGGTGTGTGATGGTGTGTGATGGTGTGTGATGGTGTGTGATGGTGTGTGATGGTGTGTGATGGTGTGTGATGGTGTGTGATGGTGTGTGATGATGTGTGATGGTGTGTGATGGTGTGTGATGATGTGTGATGGTGTGTGATGGTGTGTGTGTGTGTGTGATGGTGCATACAGAGGAATGAGTGTTAGATACAACTATGTCACCAAGACTGAAGAGGACTCTCCAAAGCATCTTGGATTACATACCTATGTAATTCTTTTGCCCTGAAGTCTGAGCATTGTGACAACCTGTTGCAAGCTCACTAGCTACAGTTCCACTCTAGTATTCACTTATCAAATTGAAACTTTCTTGTATAGACCTCTTGTTAAAGTAGTTTCTCGAACTCTGTTTTGCAACTTCTTCCAGTGGCAGTTTGTCATGAGGTAGTGAGGACAGGGACTTGTACTAGTCAAACACTACTTTTCTTATGTATGTTTTGATTTCTTCCTTCACATGAAGCTCTTTGTCCCAACATATCATCATTTACTAATGGTTTTTGTCCCTTCTGTTGTCATCATCCAAGACATTACCTGCTGTCCTTTGTCTTCCTGATACTTCCCTGGTAGTACTTGTAGAAGTGCTAACAATTCCACCTGTTGTTGTAACAGGGGTAGAAGACACATTGTTAGTAGCACCTGGTGATGTCATATTTGCAAACAAGAATATACCTATTTGTATTCAATCTTTTATTCTATTTTTGCTTCTGAGGAGGTTTCATGAGGAGCAGAAACCAGCTCATACATTTCCTCTGTGATTGATGGAAAGAAGTATACAGCACAGGCACATGATCCACTACTATCTAGTAGCAAATCTACTCTGTAGATTTGGACCCTCACTATTTTCTTATACTTTGATTTAAAGACTTTATCATTCATTAGTATGTGATTCTGCTAATTGCATGCATGTGCTGAGTGTTGAGTTTTTGTTTGCACACATGCTCCTGAAAGACTCAATTTTGATCTACTACCAAGAACTTCAAAATTGAATTGTACAATTATAACATAGATCCTGTTGTGCCCTGTTTCTTACACAAAAAATCAGCCACCAGCTGCTGTAACTTCAGCAAGCTAGTAGCTCCAGGCCTCTGCACCATTGTCCTATGTTGGGTTCTCAATGACACAGACATCTAAGTAATTTTATCAATAAGGAGTGGGTGCTTATTCCAGTGGTCTAGAGTTGGTTTTGGGTCACTTGCTGGCCTATTTTGTTCCGCACAGCTGGTCTTGGAAATAGCAAAAGTTGGCCATACAGGCTGTTAGATGGTGAGCATACCAGCCAGCACTGTGGACCTATTGGTTAGGACACCTGTACACGTACACTTCCCCAACACTATCACTAAGCATATGCCCCAAGAAAAAGACCTTACTAGATGCCATTCTTGAGCAGTTTTGGTGGCTGCTCTATATGTARAACTGTGTAGAATGCAGTTGGACAAAAATTCTTTTTGCAACAAGCAACAAACAATTGACAGAGCCCTTTGTTGCAAATCAATTCACAATCAAATCATCCCCAGTCACAATGACAAGGTGTAGATCTACTACTTAGTTAATGCTTGTTGTTACAGTCAACTTATTGGAATTTCCAAGGGAAGCTTCTTTCCTGGTGTTTTTGCTGTGTTTGCTGAACCCAAACATTTCTTATGTTTCTGCCCTGCTATTTAGTAGATCAGTAGTTAAAATAAGAGTTTTTCCACCATTACAATGGTATTTGGGGGTCTTAATAAGAAGAGTGAGTGCTTTGTAATGGTGCCCTTGACTTGTCTTATACTAGTAATTCTTTGGTTGTTTGAACAGAGAAATAAAGATCTCMATGGCCACACCCTTTCTCAGAAGCAAGCACAGCATCGACAGTGAGCAGTACTGAAAGTCAGTGCTCTGTTTGCACTGAAACCACAGACTTGTCCATCCCAAGAAGCTCATTTATTCCCATAAGATATGGAAACCTTCTTATCGACTACACCTACTAGTACTACTTCCAAGCTCGTCACAAATTAACGAGTCTACAAGATTACAATTCTGGCAAGTGTCAGCAAAGTGTTGCTTGCCTCTGTCTCCAACACTTGGCCTATTACCCAGTATTTTCCACATTTGCCTCATAGTAAACAACCACTGGAGAGCGTCACACAAGATAGGCTGGTCTTTGACGCGTAATCCAAGAAGAAACAACATAAACCCTCCACATCACAACAGATTTCTTTGGTCTCTRCCGCAACCACACTTCCACCAAACTCCTTGGAGGGAAGCGCCGCCCCTCCTTGGTGGTGTGACTAGAAGCATGTCATACTTTCCACCAAAAAGCTATGGTTCTGGCCATACTACTAGTATACTAGTAGTCCCTCTTCTACTGGTAAAAAATATAATATTAAGATTTTTTTAATAATTCTTTGGTTGTTGAGATATTGTAATKCCCATGGTCATGCTGATGTGGATTTGCATTAGCTTGGTGAGAGTAGGTTGTTGTGACTAATTCTTTTGTGTACAATCTGGTAGGGTCCCTACCGGTACAGCTTACAGACAGAACCRATGTTGAACTAGTATCATACTATCGTACTCTTGTACCGTATCATACGTCGGTATGAATTTTTACCGAGACTACTATCGACCGTACTTTGTTTTTAGTAGATTTATTGGTCTTCATYAACGTTCTATTAGTACAGGGTGATTGGACAATTGGATAGCTGAAAATTACAGTCCTGGTGCAGTCACACCTTCCGGGTTGTACCGGGAAGGTCTTTGATTTCATTGGGATTTGAAAATTTCTATTCTTGCCTTCWAACGTTTCACTGATGCTCGAGCAGTCTTACAGGTATGAAACTAACGACAGTGAATACTGAGTCATCCCGTAATTTTGTTGACACATAAGAAGAACACTACCGTACACACAGTACGATACGAAAATCAATGGTCATTGGAAACTTTAGAACATTRWCTGGTCTAGAAGTTGTTTAAAGTGTTGACTAAATTTTGATTTAACGCAATGTTTAACAAAAAAATACTTAAGGCACTATTTTGATCAATCTTGCTTCTCTAATCTATTTTCTGTAAGTTAAACGCGATCTATTGCTTCTGCTGTAACGATAACGCATCAAGAAGTGACRAGATTGGATAGGTTCTACCGTACTAACACTTCGTAATCGATCATCAACGAACGTTTCTAATTCAATTTTTGGGCGACCCCTTCTCCATAGTCTGTTTCATTGTTTCCGAGGCGATGTTGGCAGAGGACAATTAATAAGCCCGTACAAAAGAAGAATAGAAATGCATCAAAGTTTTAAATACGAAAATGGGTTGGGCTCTTCATTCCAACGCGGGGCCTGAATTATTCTACTCTTTCTACCAATGCTAACGTACTCGTACAGGATACGTACTACATATTCGACTGTTATTACTACTTGTAGCACACAGTGCACAAATGGTCCCGCTACGCTCCATACCGTACTTATTCGATCTGGAACAAACGAATCATTCTTACTACTTATTTATATATTTACTATCCGCTAACGTCGAAGAAAGTATTGGTTCATAAGTAAGTAATTGATAGTTCCAAATTTATATAAACCGATGAAAAACTGTGTGCACAATCGGCATTACGATAAAACTAAACCTTATTACTGTAACTTACTGTACGGTACTGTAGTTCCAGAAAAATTATCAGTTCTCTAAGAAATAGTATTCAGGCAATATGGGAAGTCAATATTTTGAAAGCTGAGTCACCAAATGAAATGAAAAATTTYATGTTCGATCGAAAATAATTGAAATTGTAACACTTCTTTCCTCATCCATGGTACTCGTACCCGGGTAGCGTACCTCCTTACGTGCTACGTGTACAACATCAAATAATTTGTCCGATTCACTTTCGGACCTACCGGTAGACTTGTTACACTTGCCGTCACGATACAACAGACCGTCTCTACATATTCGACCATAACATTAGAATCAACGCGACGACGCGACAACCAGAACTTTTGAACGCAGCATCAACGCAAGAATTATAATATTACAATAGCAATAAGGTATACAGCAGGTCGAGCAGGAATCGATACTGATTATCCTTGAAAGCCGCTGTTTTGTTTCAGATCTCAGTTTGCAGTGACAATGCCGCCCTTACAAGACATATCCCCGTTCTCCAGCGATGAGAGCAGCGAAAATTCAAGGGCAGAGTTGTCGACAACGTCTTCCTTACACGAAGAGTTACACGAAGAGTTACACGAAGAACATGTAGATTTAGAAGTACCCAGTGGAGTGGTCACCGCAAACGACGCAACCACCACCACCAAAGGCAGTAGCAGTACCGATAGCAGCATTCATGGGCAAGAAATAGCAGACAGCGGCAATGACAACGACAACGATAACAACAATGATAACAACAACGATGGCATCCACTTGARGTGGTCCCGAATCACCAAAACAGTGACCATAAGGGCAGACAACTCGGGGCTTCTACGGGGATCGATCGCGGCACCAACACCCCAATCAAGGGAAGACTTTCGGAAGATGATGAAAAAACAATTGAGTATTGGAAACAGTAATGGCGATCGACAGAGGAAGAAAACTATTCTGAGCGATGTTTCTGGATATGCCGCTCCCGGTGAGATTTTGGCCATGATGGGGTGAGTTATGACTTMAGGCTGGTATGCTTGTATTCAAAACGATTGTCGAAACCAATTAGTGCACAGTTTGTTACAMCGTCGGATCMAAACCAATCACGTGTTCGTCTTCGTAATGAATTCTAACAGGACTTTAATCGACTTTTTTCCCACCCACCAATAAACTCAAAACACCCGTTTTGCACTTTGTTTTGCTCCGACACATATAGCCCCTCTGGATCGGGAAAAACGAGTTTGCTAAATTGCCTGAGTGGAAGGAATCCCTACAATGCGGGGGTCGTCTCCGTCAATGGAAAACCGCTCGGTGGAGCGGACATGAAGCGGCTGATGGCTAAAATTGCGTATGTGAAACAAGCCGATATTTTTTTCGAACACTTAACCGTGAGGGACCAGCTCGGATACACGGCCATGTTGCGATTGCCACAAAAATGGACCAAAGAAAAGAAACTTGACGAGGTTGAAGAGATTATAMGGCTTTTGAGACTTACCAAGGTTGCCGAGTCAAAAATTACAATGCTCAGCGGGGGCGAAAAGAAAAGAGTCAACATTGGAACCGAACTACTCACGGATCCAGCGGTGCTGCTGCTGGACGAACCTACCTCGGGGTTGGATTCCACAAGCGCCGTGGCTTTGATTCGAATGCTGCAAAAGCTAGCAAGGAGTTCGCACAAAACGATAATTACTAGCATCCACCAGCCATCTTCCGCCCTATTCCATTCCTTTGATCGATTGATCATGCTGGCCGAGGGACATGTTGTTTACTTTGGCAGGCCAAGAGATTCGTTGCAGTATCTGCGGAGACATAAGCTTGATTGCCCCGATGGGTATAATGCAGCAGATCACTGGATGGACCTGTTGGTACAAGACAGCGCCATAGAACATGAGAATGAAGATGAAGACGACTGTGCTGTTCATGTCGACTCATCGCCATTAACAGCGTCTTCTACCGTCGAATGTGATGTTCCCAGCGAACGCCAAAACAAAATGAAAACGACAAACGATAATAGCAGAAAGAGAAGTACTGCTCAGCCACGACCAGATCGAAAGCGTGGGATAGGCATGACGAAGAGAGAACGATTGATTGGGGTCTGGGATGGAGAAGCTGTGGCGGAGCAAATTGACCTTTTCGTAGAGCAACGACAGACCAACAATCGGCTCTCACAAGAATTGGTATTGGCAGACACGAATAAGAAAAAAACTGCCCAGACGCAAAAATCAAAATACAATACCAAATGGGGGTTTCAATACAAGACGCTTGTCCATCGATCGCTGAAGAATTCACAGTCTGCCATTTTTACACCCATCAATCTCGTGAAGAGTTGCGCGCTTGGCCTGCTTTCAGGTTTGCTGTGGTTCCGAATGAGCTACACCGAATCACGAATCTTCGATCGATCGTCCTATTTCTTTTTCACCATGACATTTTGGGTTTTTGATGCCATGTTTCAATCCTTTCTACTATTCCCGAGTGAACGTGCCGTTGTCCTCAAAGAGCGTGCTAGCGGTTCGTACCAACTGTCGGCATACTTTATGGGAAAGACGACGAGTGAAATGCCGGCTAGACTTGTCTTACCTCTCATCTACATGGTGATAAGTTTCTGGATGGCTTCCATTAGTGATCAATTTTCCATGTTCCTTGGTACCACATTCATCTCGCTTCTGAGCGTCATGGCGGGCGAAGCTATCGGATTGCTGGTTGGTGCCACCATTTACGATACGGAGAAGGGAATGACCGCGATGACTGTAATAGCGCTGTTTCTGGCCCTGGTCGGTGGTTTCTTTGTCGAAAACGTACCCTCGTTCCTGGTCTGGTCGAAATACCTTTCGCCATTCAAGTACTCCTTTGATGCGTCATTACAACTTGTCTTCGACAAACCGGTTCCGTGTGACGGGAGCGGCGTAGTCGAAAGTATCTGCCATGGATCTGACGAGGGGACCATAACTCCCGACGAAGTCCTCGAATTTTTGGGCGTTCAGGGCAGTGTTGGTTTCAATGTTGGCATCCTGGTGACGATCGTAAGTTTTTGCAATATTTCGTTTTGACGGAACGGGGCGCATTTTGATTGTAAACACAGTTGTTCTCACCTCTGTTGTCTGAATGCTTTCATATGTTTGTTTTGTCCTACGAACACATAGGGTTTGGTACCCAGGTACTTAGCCTATTTGGCTCTGCGGGGGAAGAAAGAAGGTGATCGGTAGATGCGATGCATATTTCCTTCGCTTCAATCATTTGTGACACAGTACGAATCAGAGCATTTCGTTCGGAGAAAGAAAGTGATCGGTRTTTAATACCGTCGATTCTGCATAAACATCATACAGGAAAATWTAATAATCAATAGAGATAAATCGTACAAGTCTTAAAAAATGTTCCGTATCCGTAGCATAGTAGATACGGTCATTACGATACAGGAAATTGATAGTGTTCAAAATGAAAACAAGATGAATTACAACCGGACAAAGGTTCCGAAATCAATTATTTGTGTTGCACCATAAGACCTTCAGGGTTTGCATTGCTTTGCCGTAGTAACCCCGTTGAAGTTGTGAAGAACGGTGAAGTGGCACAAAAGCGTACTAGTAGGAATGGAGTCGGATCTGYTTATCCGAAGTACTGTACTGTACATAATAGGCCACAAGAGACCGTTTTCGGATTTTTCTTAACAGTTGTGTCGCACCAAAGAATTGCTAAAATTGCTCGGTTCCGAACTAGAAGTACTATATATTGAAAGAGATAAAATCTTTCAGAATGAAGTTTTAAGGCAGATAATGCAGTACTGTTCTTGTATTGATTATTAAAACGTCATTACAGTACTGCTACATGGTGTTCGAGAGCAGAGAAGCAAATGGATGAAACGGTGTTTTCAAATGTTCTTTCCAAACATGCTAAATAATAACAAGAATGATRAGGTCTTGTACCAGATCAACACAGTATTGACGTTGGACAGAAAGAGGTATTGAATCGCAGTTGTTCGCGCATGAAGGATCGATCACCGCCATTCACAGTGGTTTTCATTAACAACGACTGTGACTGCAAATGATAATAAATCCCTCACAGTGAAATCCTCGTCGTAAAGCTGCTCCATTTATTCATCGCCAGTAGTGCCAAAAATCATGTGTGCCAACTGAAGATAGGAGACCTCGCCATTCTCAACTTCACATTCGTCCATCAGGGTAGCAAATTCTGGCTCGGAAAGCTCTTCTCCCATGGATGTCAACATGACCTTAAGCTCCCCCACGGGAATGGTTCCGGTTCCGTTGGTGTCAAAGGCCTGGAAAGTTTCGATAATTTCATCGACGGTGTCGTTCGTCTTATCGAACTTTCCTCCCATAAATCTCTGGAATCCGTTCAAATCGAGACCGCTCTTTGYTTCTCCCTTCCATAATGCAAGATCGGCTTCACTGGGGTTGAGGCCACCGGCACGACATGCAGCCCCGATTTCTTTCGACCCGATGCTTCCATTTTTAGCATACTTGGTGAACACTGTCTTCATTTGGGCTTCTTGGTTTTCTGTGAGTGGCATGTTTGGATGGTGTCTTCGGTATCTTGTGATGTACTTCTATTCTGTTCGACTCTTTGGAAGTGTACGAGTACTCGTGTCTATTCATTACAAGAATGTTTAATTGCTGCGGCGACAGCACAAACACACATACGCGAAGGATAAATTCTTCATTTTCCCGTGTGGCAAGACATCTTCTCAACGATGACCAGTTTATGACCTGAATCGAAGCAGGAAACAGAAAACAGAAGATCGCATCATTGAAAATGTCATCACATCGATGACCTTGACTCATTCGATTGCATTACTACGCGTTTCATAACAATTAAATATGGCCTTGCGAGCGTGCAAGTGCTCTCCAGATAAGACTTAAAGCGTTAAAATTAAGTTATCGTATCCCTTAATAGGAGCGTACGCCTATAGGCGTACTAAAGGCCGGTTTTTAGCCAATCAGAAGTATACATTAAATTGCTCCACCGGCAATATAACCTCCATATTCRGAATCTACGTAAAATTTTGCTATAGAGAGTACTATCCCCGGGATTCTATACTTTGGTGAGAGCTCTGGAGGGGAGCTCGTAGTATCAGTATGGAACAGCCGATGAATATCTAAAGGCGTACTAAATCAACTAACCGTAATTCCAAACTCACCATGGTACTTCCCCCCCTTCCGGACCTTCTTCTGCAAAACGAAGTAGCTGGATCCCTCCCTCTAACACAGKGAAATGATACTGCGGAAGACCGGAACGATTCGGCTGGAAATAAAGGAATAACAGACCGGTCTTGTAATTCGGTTTCGTCGACGACACCAAAAACAGTCTCACAAGCCACCAAAATGAATGCGCCTTCCTTGAATCAAGATGAATGGACACAGGAAGGCAACGCGTCGCTTCCCCTACCCAAGGGGGGGCTTCAGCAAAAAGAACGGATGGATTCCATGGAAAATAAAGGAAATACTGACCAAACTGGTACCAGATCCATTTCGACGAAAAACATCGTAAATACTGCTGTCGACACTCTACCACTGGAACCAACACCAAATCAAGCTCAAMCGGCAAACTCATCACACAGACCCCTTCCGGTATTAAAGAGGAATGGATCCGCAAAAGAACGGACGGATTCCATGGAAAATCAAGGAAATACTGACCAAACTGGTACCACATCAATTTYGATGAAAAATAGAAAAACTGCTGCCGACAACAAGAAGCAAAGAACACAGAAGCRTTCAGCACCAGTGTTGGCTGGTGAGGAATCCAGCCCTCAGCAAAGGAACATTCCATCTACTGTTTACAATGAAGACAAGATCAACCAAGGTTATGATACTGATGGGGAAATAGGTCCATTTTTTGATGCTGTTCAAAATGAAGGAGACCAGCTATTTGAAGAGGTTGCAGCACCAGCAGCAACAGCAATTCGAGGCGTTGGAGGAGGCCAAGGCGTTGGAGGAGGCCAAGGCGTTGGAAGAGGCGTTGGAGGAGGTGTTGGAGGAGGAGTTGGAGGAGGTGTTGGAGGAGGCGTTGGAGGATCATCAGCAACAACAACAGCAGTATTTCTTGCAACACAGTCAGTGGCTTGGATTAGGAATGAGCTGAAGCTAAGGAATCAATCAATCAATGGCAGGAAGGATATATTARWTGAGAGATTGAAAGCTGCAATAGACAAGAAGGTTACCAGATACCAAACACTTGAAGATGCAAAGAGGAATAGCAATCCCACCAGAGGAAAAAGAAAGAAGGTTGATGGAATGAAGAGCTTTGCAACAACCGCCTATTGGGAGGCTTTAGAACCAGAGACAATACAGGTTCAAGAACCAGCVAATCCTACCTTYAAGTTAGCAAGGGCACCAACTGTTAGTGAGAAGGAAGCAAAGCATGTACCTCAGAAGTACAACTTTCCTCAAYGCTTTGAAGTTCCCAAATTCCAAGCTGTGAAGAAAGAGTTYGAATTTGATYGCCGTGGCAATATTAAAAAAGGATTGCAAGGAAACCCAATTGAGATAGTGTCTCCAAGGGACAAAGGTTGTGTAAATGCTGCCTTTAAAGCCAAGTACAAGCTTTCTGCATCATCCAAACCATGGGAGGTTGTGAACAGCTTCATTCCCTTTGAAAGCAGCAAGAGCAGGAAAGGC